AGGCTAGTAAGTTGAGTTTACTATCGTCTGTACAGTATGTAAATTAGGTACCGTAAGTCTAATACAGCACTAATTTTATACATTTCTTGTGAAAGAAACATTTCTGATTCAACGGCCATAAAAATTATTTCTATTAATGATGTCTCCAAAGGTCAACGAATTTTTCGCAGAAAAATAATTTTTCAGAAAACGCGGCCGCCGTTTGGTGCGCTGCTCCGCGACGAAAACAAGCGTAAGCAACGGCGTAGTCGAACGGTGCACACTCGGTAAGTAATCCTACAATTTTTTGTTTATAGCATAGTTTATACGGATTATTCCCAAAAAAATTATACGTGTTTTGGAAATGTTGAGTCGAATTAGTCTAGAATCGGTTAATTTTATACAAGAAAACCTTTCAAACAGCCATAGTCCGTAAACTTCACACGTGTCGGGCTGTGATTAGCTCATGTATTGAAGGATTTCTACAACGTAAAATTCTTATAAAGTGGAACGTATCTAAGCGTTATAGAGGGTCTACTGTACACAAAATTTTCCATTGTAATTAAATTGTTAAAACCCAATGCACTAGTGTAATACCTTGTTAATATGGTTTATAAAGTTTGCATTTACTTTTTACTAATCTTTAACTGATGAAAGCAAAAAAAGCATTCCTAAATCTTCTCATATTAAGTTATCAATTGTTTTCTTCTATGTATGTTTCTATCTATTTAAAATAGTTTTCTTCCATTAATATAACTCGCTTATTTTAAAGATATTTCCGGCTGAATATTTGCAAAAATAAAAAATACGCCGCCAGTTTTTAAGAAACCAAAATAATTGATCATGTTCATGGGAAAAAAATTGTTAATTTTTGTACATATACAACGGTTTTTTCCTCATTAAATAGTGTGTAATTTTATCATGCATGTGCTTTGATTTCACTTTATATCCTTTGGTGTACGCTCTTCGTTTAACCAAAAGTCTTATATTTTCATATTGAGTCAGTGCGAAACCTCCTGTAAGATGGCGGCACGAATGCTTCAATCCCGATCACGTCATGCTATGGATTACGTATGTCAGAAAACAACTTTTTCTTATTTCCTAATATGTTCCGAAACGGCGGGGCGGACTAGGAGGTTACGGTATCAATTTACCCCTCTAGGGAATTTTCATGAATTTGTCCCGGATACATCGGATCCGCTCTTCACCACTCGACTGTCCCATTGAATGTTTGGCCAAATCCATGATGGTTTGAGAAAAAGGCCCATTTAGTGCTCATAGAGCAGAGTCAAAAATTAAAATTTAATATAAATACAGTAGTATATATGTTTTAAAATAAAAGATTATTATTATATTTTTTATAACATGAAAAATTTTTATATACCAAAGCAATAAAAACTAACGACATAAAAGAATTAAAATTTAAAAAAATTGTCAGATCTGGCAACGCTCCGTCATCTGAATTTGCAATTTAAACTGGCAACGTTGTTGTTAATGGCGGTCGATATTAGTGTGCGAGTATAAACATCATCGTTTGTAACTTTTATAATCTCTAAAATGACACTTTTTCATTTCGGTAATTGTGTAGCGTTAGCGTATGTACCGTACTTTATGACTTACAAGTTCTCTGGGCTGTAAGTTTTGCTTTTTTTATACATTTATATTGCATCATTTTGAAAAGTTAATATAAATTAAAAGTTGAATAACTTAAATATAAATAAATGCGTCACTAATGATCAGCTGTGGTAAAATATTAATATTAAGATACTTACGAACACTTTTATTACAAAATTACATTTTGAATTCCCGCAATTTCATTAATTTGTTTCAAGGTCAAT